ATTATTATATATATTATTATATTATATATATATATATATAATTATATATATATAATTATATATATATATACCACAAATACCATGCACGTGCACTAGATAGCCAATCGCAAAAACAAATGTCATAGATATTGCCACGTCAATCTACATATATGTATATGCTCATGAATAACCTCATAATCAAGAAGTCAAAGGCAAAAAGGAACTCAGCGCCCACCTTCTTGGTGGCAGTGGTGGCAGTGGCTGCAGCGACAGATCGACTTTCATTTGCAACGAATGGACCTATAGCAGTCTGTGCCACAATGTCAACCTCGGCCGAGGGAACTGACGCGTCGCATTTAAGCTCGGTTGCGTTCTGGCTATCATTTACCACATCGAATTCACGCTTTACCTCAGCGCAATTGCCGACCACGACAGGTACATCGGCTTTAGTAGACGTTTCACCCTCTGCCGAGGATACAATGTTGGAACTATCGGTATGCCCACGACGGGTGAAAGCCCTCTCATATCTGGTACCCTTGTGCGAAGGAAGTTGTGTCTGGTCTGCAATACTCTGCTTTACCTGACTAAGGCTTCGGCTAAGACTACTCACTTCACGTACTTCGCCACTCTCAGTACTATTAGATGACAGTGGCAGCTGTGACTGTACCTGCTCAGGTACTGGGTCTGACAAATTGGCCAGGGTTGTATATGTATTAGTTCTACGGCTCGCTTTGGGCGATTGAACGCTGCTCTCTGTAGAGCATGCATACTGCATGGGAGGCGGGCTTGACCTTGGGCTTCCGCCAGACAGACAGCGAGTGATGAAAGCGGGGTCCCTATACTTCATATTCTCCTCGTTTGTACTGCGCCGATTCGCTGGGTTGCTCGTAGTACAGGCCTGCGCTGCATCCACACGTGCATGGTCGGGGCTGTCGTCATCGAGCACCTGTGAGGGGGTCGTGCTGGGACAAGTGGTTGCTACGGGGGCCACACTCGGACTGGAGACCGTAAGTGCCTCGGGGAGTACGAACGTATTTCTGGACAGTCCGGTACTAGCTGATCCAACCTGGAGTGTAGGTAGGCTCTCAAGGTTGCCCTGTGTCAGTTGGACTGCGCTAGTGTCCGTAAGTAGTGGGAGGCTGGATCGTTCAAGGCCCATAGTCGCTCCGACACCCGTCGCAACGGTGCCGCTGGAGCTCTCCTGTCGTATACGCGACGCGCACGCACTCACAGTTGTGTAATCATCACAGATAGTACCGGGAACAGCTATGCCCGCTTTGGAGTCACCGAAATCCAACGAAGTGTCAATGATCTGTGGCAGAGCCGGGTTAAGGGTCATAGCCGATGCCGGACCCGATGTAACGCCCAACACCGTTCTCTGGTCGATCAGACCTTCCTGTGGCATTAGCCTATCAAGCTGGGTATCTGGCCAACTGAAGATAGGCGGGTATGCGCCATCGCCCAAACTGGTCCAATTATCCATGAAACCGCTCCAAGCCTTGTCGAAAGATGGAACTTCGCTGGTGGTTGGTATGTTAGGTAGGAGTGGTTGCTGTAATGTTCTGCATTTTTCCTCCCAGGATGCAGTTCGTGGGGCGGATATATTGGACGGGGTGATTTGGGAATAGTCTCGGAACTCAACAGAGTGGTCGGATGTCGAGTCTGAGTAAAATGTGTTGCGAATCTGTGCAATGGAAGGATATGTGGTACGAATACGGGATAGCTGAATGAATTAGAACTAAGATAACTGCACTAATTTCAGTATCCGGAAGACAGTAAGAGAATAGACTGCAGAGCTATGAAAGCCGTAGTTCTTACCTGAGTTAGTACTTCGATGGGAGACGATGATACCTTTTGCATAATAAACACACGGAGAGCATCCTGAGATATTGGAGGAGAAATAAGACTCGTCGACGACGTATTCCCTGCACTGTCACACTTCTCGCAATCTAGCGAGACAATTTTTGCTTCCATTGCTAGATGTTTTCTTCTCTGTTCCCGCATACATGATATCGAGGATAAAAACTGTGGTTTCTGATAGCAAAGAGATGAAGTAGAGACAGCTTACGCTACTCGAGCGTCGCTTCGATTTTCAAAAACACAATGATTGTAGAGAACGATTTACTTGGAGTGAACGTCCCAGCTCGCTTTATTACAGTTTTATTTCAAAACTCCAGGATCTCTCTGCATGTAAAGTGGATAGATTCTATTCATTTCATGCTTCAGTGACGATATTGACACGGATAAGGCTTAGGAAGGGAAGCTGCAACAAGGTCCTAAATGACGATATGTGTAATTACGTGGTACTTCATCTTAAGCCTCTTGAAAAGGTTTGATAAGTGTTCATATACACTATGGCTGGTTTCGTTCAGATTTTTAAATATTGTCGTTCTCGGTGTGTCAAAAAGGTCATTTGGAACGTAAATTACTGCTTGACCATATGTTGGGGACAAATCGAAATTTCTTGAGTTCACTTGTGACTGTAACTATGGTTATACGGCTTCAAGCCTAGTCAAATCCGGAATAGTCGATACATTGCTTGCGAACATGTATAAATTACGTGTCATCTGTAACCCTGTGTAAATTCAATTACCCCACTTATTATGTTCGTGTCGATCAAGTATACTATTTCTGGACGTGTTAAATGCTGAATGTATTCAGCAACTGAAAATTTTCAGGTCATTGCCTGCGAAACTAGTATGAAGTGTATAGCATAAGCTAGCGCGCAACTCTGAGTGCGCATGTTATCGCATTCATTATGTGCCATATATATACATATATATAAATATATATAAAGTGAACAATTTTTTTCCGTGTGCGTGCTAAATGTATTCACCAACTGGTCCAAAGCCTTGCAGTTTCCACAAGCCGTTGTCACAATCGAGCCTGTGGACACGTTCGAGGGAAACCGCCAAATCATTGTCTGAGAATCTAAGATTAGTGTATGTCATCTGTTGATGCCCAACTCTGAGAATGGCTAAATATTCTATTCAGTCATCGTGCATTTCGAATCTAAGATGAGATGTATGTCATCTGTTGATTCCCAACTCTGAGAACGGCTAAATATTCTATTCAGTCATTGGCTGTCATTCTGAAGTGTATGCGTGCAACCGAGGAATGCTTTGGGTATATCGACCTGTTCACGACGTACTTACTAGCGTGTGTTCAATTTTCGTGTTAAATTTATTGTATTACGGGGCGTAGAGGATCCGTTACATCCAGCAGATATGCTTATCGTTCGTGTCTAGTTGTGCATACGCAGTGTTGAAGTGTACGATGGTTATTTGTACAGTACACCAAGACCTAAAAACAAGTATATATTCATAACCTTTTGTGCACACTTAACCCTAAACCCTAAGCCCTAAGCCGAAGGGGAGCTTATGTAGCAAACCCTAACGCGAAACCCTAAACGCGAAAACCACTATTAGATGCAAATCTCTTGGGCAACTATTTAGCCAATCCAGCTGTGGTAATCCAGCTGTGGTAATCCAGCTGTGGTAATCCAGCTGTGGTAATCCAGCTGTGGTAATCCAGCTGTGGTATTCCCTTTTGCAGTCTCGGCTGTGTAAGGCTTATGTAGTATGTACTATCAAGTTGTTGACAGTTCTGTACTCTACCTCTAATATATGCACTTCTGCAGGGCCTTGCCTACACATCGCGTGTACGAGGTACTGTTGAGTTTACAGCGCAAAATTGAATAGATGCTTATTCGCAAGTGCACATCTAGTCCTCTCGTTTGCACAACCATATGTCTGATAATTATCTAGTATTAGCAGAGATGCACTCGAACACAGATTCATATGAATGAATAACAATTGCGCAATATTTGCACGGTGTCTACTACACATATTTCTTTTAAAGTAGTAATTTTTATAAGGTTGAAGTAATTAAATAGCCAAGCACCAGTATAAAATATTATTTACACTTCTCTTTTGTTATTCAGATTTGGCCTATGGGTCTGGCCACTTATGTAGAAGTTTCCCAATCTTCAAAGCGGCCACAAATTTGAGGTTGTCAATCCTTATCTTACTGCATGTAAGATTTATTTATGTGTGGACAAAAGTATCCATGTAAACTACTACTTGTTCTCACTGCCGAGCTTAAGGTCAGATAGCGCTAATAGTGTGGATATTGGCCTGGTGGTGGGGCGGTCGGGGCCTGGCCTGGGTTAGCCTATATGAAAAACACAATAGCTTGAGTCGTTCGCGTTGTATGCAGAAAGGAAACGACTATGATTGCATTAAGAATAATTTAATCTATCTGAATGATGAACTATCTCGTGTGGAGATCAAAGCCATGAGTGAGGAGAGGTATTGTGAAGAACACTAGGCAGACCATCCGAATAATACCTACAGCGCACGAACCACCGCCTATGTACAACATCTGTACCAATAGCATCGCAATCACCACTACGCAATAACCAATACATCACAGCCAAGCCAAAGCACGAATTTCCTGTGACTACGAGATATAGTCATAAACCACCGTCGCAATACATACGTACGGACTTCGAAAATAAAAATCAGGACAGACCCGGTGTTTCTACATTTCAAACTGACACACAGATCACACAGGCAACAGTCAACCCCATTCCATGCAACCTCAACGTATTGGCCTGCGGTGGCACCCGTTTATACACATCCATGAGTTTTTAACCCGAATTCGGAGACATTGTTGGTCGAAACTTATAGCAACACTACAAACGCCGCATATGACATCAACGACGCACCTGTGCTGGAGGGCCACAGGGTGATGCACCTGGGGGTCCCCCATACGGGCCTGCACCAGGACAGATGAATCGGCACTAAATCAAGACACTGAGTACAGGCGTGCAAGCTGGTGTAGACCTGTGGCTCTTCCCATACGCAAGTGGTATGCACCACAGAGATTGAACTATCGCTTGGTGCCCCAAATGTGTCTGCCAGTGCGCGAAGGTGTGTATGATAGAATATATGGGCCGGAATGTCCCGCACAGGTGAGGTGCAACTGTGGCAGAAAGAACTGCCCCGGAATCACTTCCAATCATTTGCGTCAGGTTCAATAATAGAATCGGCTCGCGGATCAGATGTAGTGCAAGAATGAACACGTGTGTCAAGTCACTGTATGCACCATAGTGGCCAATTATACAGTGATTGTCGCGAGAGTCGGGAGTTTTGTGACGCGAAGATAACTCGAAGTACAGCAGGCTGTGGTGATGCCTAGGGAAAATGCATAATAATATTTCTACTTCACAACAAGGTATAGTCTCATACATACGTGGGGTGTACAAGGGAGATGTACATAGAAATTAAACTAGCCGGGAAACCCAGATTATGACTCACTGATGGCACAAATTATATAGTGAGCTACACTTGAAGGGCTAGTGTATAAGTGAAACAACCCATTTGCTCGAGTCCTAGAGAGTGTTTGCGTGCAGCCCTAGGCCTGTTTCATTACATCCATACTCACTCAAGTCCTGGACGTCGTGCACTCCCTTCATACTCTCAGGTTACGCACTCAAAATGTCATACGCGACACACAAACGCACACACCTCCCATCAGACCCGCAGGTGCGCCGTACGGGTTCTGCGGCGGTGGCCATAGTACATGTACTGTCCAGGCGGTGTCTGTTGAGGCGGCATGTGGGGCTGTTGCAGTAGGTACTGGCGTTAAGTTACTTGCCCCTCAGCCTCTACTAGTGGTCTACCAGATGAATACTAGAACAACTCTCAATAAGGTATATCCTGCTGCAATTCACACCCCACCAAGGCGGGTTTAAAATCCAGTGGGCAGTTGTACTGGTGATATAGAATCTAAGTGGTTAATCAAACAGAGCAAGCCGTATTATGTAGCAAAGACAAATATTCCTAGTCTTCTTATTTACAGTAGTGTGAAATCGACGGGTAAGGGTATATATAAACGTTATGACAATACGTCGCTGATACGTAAAAAAAAATACAAGTCTTGACACGAACACTCTTACAAAAGAAGGAGTCACATCGGAACTATACGTACACAAACATGCAAAAGTCATTGATGCAAAAAATACGTTGTAGTTGATGTTGAGCCACAGCAGAGCAAGACAGCTTCTAAAAGTTCACTCTAAACCAGATAACAACATAACAGTACAACATGTATCATCAGAGAAAGGTACCTGGAGGAGGTCCCGGGGCACCGTGTGACTGTGAGGTCTGTTGGGGGTACCCTTGCTGCGGTGGTGCAGTATATGGGTAGGCAATATGTTGTAAGTGTCCCTGTGCGGGCGGTATTCCTTGATGTGATGCGCCTGTCAATAATACGGATTTGTATTTGATATTCTTTAATCTCAGCTTTAAAAGAATTTAACCACCATATCTATATTTGTATAAAAAATCAGTGAATCAAGTGAACGACTGATCTGACTAACGGTAGACCATATACGACTGGACACTACGGACCCTCTGGGTGCAGTATCTGCCGAGAAGCTGCCTGGACAGAAAACATCGATAACATATGCACCATTATACAGGGAAGGGCAACGTTACAAACGCACAGAACCACACACAAGATAGTCTTGCAGTGAGTAATGGCTATTACGATGCACCATAGCGCTGCCCATAAATGCAGGTTTACGATAGAGATAAGAATGTACATACATTCTACGATGACTGAACACCGAAGTATCAGAAAATCGTTTTCACACCTCATTCACCATACATGACATATAAAGGGGTGGGTGTATGTCACACTGCAAATAACCTTGTCTACTGTCGCTCTGCTCACAAACTGCCCGTGCATCTTCATTCACTAACTCAAAATAAGTTTTGCTTATTTCAGCGGGTGTTTTGGACTCCAAATACCTGGGGCTGACGCTGCAGCATATGGCTAGGGAGGTGGTTGTTGCTGTCCTGGTTGAGGCTGCATGCCGGTCTGGGGTGGCCCAGAAGGTGCACCGGATGCACTATTGGGGCCCGGAAGTGGTGCACTTGGTTGTGAACCGTATGACCCTATTCAAACAAGTATATAAAGTATGAGATTTGCGTTCTCGTGTCTAGAAATATGAAAACAGATTATTACACACATGACTTTGTAGAAGACCAAACATGCAAAGGTAGATGCACGTGTATGCTGCACCGATACCCAATTAAACTATTCACAAACCAGCCTTCCTGACCGTAAGCATGAGGTGTCTGCTGTTGATGTCCTGGTGCAAAGGGCATTCCAGGTTGAGGTGACCCTTGGGGCGGTTTCGGGGGCGCGTGCAGATTCGCAGGTGATGCGCCAGACGGTGCGTTCGATGGGAATCCAGGATTCACTCCTGTAAAAAACAAAGCGTGCAGCGTATATAAGCACATATAGAGTGTCATTTGGTGTGCGACATATTCTGATCTGAGCGATCGCTCTACTCCCCCTACCAATCACGTGGTGCTCACCTGTGGCCGTGGGATCTTCATTCATCTGAGGTGGTTGATAGGGATTGGATGTGGTGGCATATTAGTTTGCGAGGTACCTGTTGGGGCTTCGGAGAGGTTTGAAAGCTGGGCAGTTTGCGCGGGTGGCGGGTGTCCGCTGAGTGGCTGTCCTGAGTATACAGTATGATACCAGATGGGATTATTGGTATCAGATGGGTAGGGAGAGCTAAGTCATGCAAAAATCTAAGACAACCCCCGAAAAGTCAACTATACTTTTAAAATGTCGGATTGAGTGGGTGTGAGTTATATGTAGTCATCAGCCAGGATGCGAAGACGTCCTTCAAATTGTCTTGGAGGGTCATCTCTTTACAGCTTACCTGCTGGTGCCGATGGTATATTGTTCGGTTGGTTTGGATTCGGAGATGGGTCTCCTGGGGGTGCACTAGCCTGTGGCACGGCCGCAAGGAGGAGCTGTAGTACAGTCCACAGAAACATGAAATTAATTCGACATGACAGAAACTATAATCTGAAAGTAGCATCAATTGCATACGTGGTCAATAGCAACGTGTGCGTATTAATAACACCAATTCGAGTCTCAATGGGGACTATAAATTAGAATTTATACATCGATTATAGGGCCCTAAAGCAGTTTCGTACTGATCACTCTATACGAATGTATCTTTATGACTGTCCTTTGTACATGGGTTATAATACCAATATATATATATATATATATATGCGTGTGTGTGTGTGTGTATGTGTGTATGTGTCTGTGTGCGTGTGTGTGTGAGAGAGAGTAATCATATAGTATAC